GTTTGTACAAATTGAGTGGTTTGCATTTGATCGCTCCCCTATATAGATATATATTACTTAGATCTCGTTGGTTCTATGAATGAATCTTTGAACATATGAAAGAAAGGAAGAAAAGAAAAAAAGAAATATAAACAGTAGGTATCTATATGAAATCAAATGAAAGATGAATTGGTATGTAATGTGAGATAGAATGGCTATATATATACACACATGTATGCATGTATACATATATATATGTACATGTACAATATATGGATGTACATGTTAAATCGAAGTCGTAAGTAAATATGTCGGCTCATGGATCGTTAAAGTAAATAATGTCAACGGAACCACTCAACTACCTCGGATTATCGTAGGTTGTGATGTCGTATTTTATATTAGAATTAAAATTATGGCCTTGTATTTGTAGGGGAGACGCTAGCCACTTCAAAGATCGGTTTAGACCACGACATGTATTGTGAGTTACACGTGATTTATTTTTTAAATGGTTGCATGCCTTATTTATAATTATCCACAATCTTGATTGAAGTTTATCGAGATTTTTGATATGCTATATATGCGTGAAATGTTCGATATATATGTGTTTTGAGTATTTGTGTGTCGATGGAGATGTACTACGGTATAATTTTGTAAAGACGAGCATGCTTTGTGAGCTTGTCTAAGCCGTAAGTGCAGACATGCTGTGTGAATTCGCCAGGTAATGCTATTCACCTCTATAGCTGATGTTGGTGATAAGGAAGATGATGATGAGGATGAGGATGATGAAGACGATGATTCTTCCAACCTTCCTGATGCTGGAAGGAACCTTGGTGATGATGATGAAGACGACGATGATGATGACTTCACCATTCAGTACCAGAAACCTGCCAGTGCCACTAAAGGAGTTTCTTTCAGGGATTCTGCATCATAGGGGGAGAAAGAGAAGGAGACCTCAGAGAAGAACTAGGACACCAAGTCGAAAGGCAAAGGTGTTGCTGAAAAAGAAAACCTCAAGGTACTCTTCAAACCCGTTGAGCCCTTAAGTACTAAATCTTTCAGGTTTGCCATTATAACTTCTATTTGTCAACTCTCCTCCAT